AAAAAAAAAAAAAAAGAAGAAACCTCACGGAGATCCAGTTGACTTATATAAATGAATTACTGACACAAAAAAGGTAGTCTGTTCTAACGGACAGGAAAACCTCTTTTTTCACCATAAAAACGCGTGCCTTGCCTGGAGGCAAACACTCTTCAGATTCCAAATAACTGATAGGACGCTTGTAGACGGATAGGCTCGGATGTAGGATTTTAGTATTTTACATTTCAGTACCCAAATAAGTAGGAACTGATTTATATACTCTCTAGCCTGTTACAATACAAGCGAGCCAGCCAGCACTCGGGTGCAAATCAATGACCTATTAAAGGAAGCCATTTCTAGTAGAATTCTGAAATAAGACGAACCCCAGGTCCTGCAAGTAACGGAGCGGGCAGAGTACGATCACTGCTCACCCCTCTCAAACCCTTCAACGCCTTCCCATCTCATGCCCAGCCTACCTCTTTAAGGTCCTGACTTTGAAGAGTAGCGGAATGGGTCACCCCAAAACGTGCCGCTTTGGTACACTGATTATGTCGAGCGGTAGGCACGAGAAAAACAGCACCTGGGGGGACAGGCTTTCTCGGAACTTCCCTCATCTGCCTAAAGACAGATCCTCTAGAAGGAACCCAAATGTTATAAATCACCTCCGGAAGTTTCATCACACAGGGAAGATGGACTCTTGTCACCAGAGGGGAGACCAGACATGGACAGCTTGTCACAAACTATGTCTCCCATCTATTCTTGCAAGGGTCTGCTCATCCTTCCGAGAAGTCATTTACTCTCCCCTAAGACGCCTCTATCCTCCTCCCCTTTCCCGATTTAGACGGGTATTTAATGCCTAAATTCTGAGCCATCCTGGGAAATCACTCATTTCCCCCTGGGGTTTCTTCACGTATACACGAGCCATACGTGTTAATAAGTTTCTGATCGCTTTTTTCCCCTCATTCATCTTTTATTACAGGGGTCTCAGCTAAGAACACGAAAGAGCGGAGGGAAAATGGTTTTCCGTCCCCACGTCTTAAATGTTACCTTCTCAGCCTTCTCTGGCAACTCCATCTACAATTTTACGTGTATGTCGTATCAATTACATACACGTAACTACTATATCCTAGAATTGCGAGGCATCCCCGCCCCCCCACCTCAAGCCCATGCTTCTGTAGCCTGCTCTGTTTTAGATTTCTATTTTCTCATCCTGGATTGCTAAGAGGTACAGGATTCTCTGGGAGGAGGGTGATAAAAACGTTCTAACGTTGGTTGTGAACCTCGAGATCATGACCTGAGCCGAAGTCAGACACTTAACCGATGGAGCCCCCCAGGCGCCCCTCCTTCAGTGGCTTCCAATCACACCCAGAAAAGAACCCGCACTCCTGTCGCAGCTTCCCAGAATGGAATCCCTGCCTGCTGCAGACACTCCTACCTCTACTCCCTCCCCGGGCTGACTCCCACGGGCCTCCCTGCAGCCCTCGCACCCACCACACCCTTGTCTACCACCTGGTCTTGGCAATCAGTGGCCATCAGCTGATCGTCCCTCCTCCCCAGTCAGGCCGCGGGGAGCCACCCAGCTCCCCACCCCCAATCCCCTTTCACTGCCTTCTTAGCATTTCCTTTGCGGTTTTACACACCTGGAGTCTACACCCCCTCTAAAATGAAGTCCCTCCAGACCAGGGACTTCTCGGTCTTGTTCGCTGCGGTATCCCTCAGGTTGAGAGGGGGGCTGGCAGAGAGTCGGTGCTGTTTATAGACTAGAAACAAGGAAGCTTCAAGTTGGGGAGACACTTCAGGAAGAGAAAATGCTAAAAAGGCTGATCGGCACTCCTCAGTACTGTGCCTTATCAGTTACACGATCCTCCATCGGGGAAGTTCCCTAGAAAAAGGGAGGGGATTCTTTTTGTCTGCACAGCACACACAGCTGACATTTGCTAAAAGAACAGGTGTTCAATTTTCGCTGAATCTGTGGTGTTCACGTTCATAGAATCTCCAACATCTATCAGTTTATGCTTGGTATATACATATACAGTTTACGTTATGCGTACACGTTATATACATACGTACATACGTACACATACACACACATAAATACACGTGTTCAAACCAAGGTCATGCCTCTCTTTTGCTTTAAACAGTGAAATTTTGAGTGCTTAATGAACCGATGACTGGAGAGGTTTAGGCCTTTTGGGAATTAACAAGGCAGCACAGAACGCCCCGCGCAAACGTTCTAACAATACAGGAAGAGCGATAAGGCAATCTTCACAATTTACTGACTCACACACAAAGCAAAACGAGCCTGGCAAAGATTTCTCATTTCCTTCTCCTCCAACCTGGATGGTACCTGCAGAGAAATTGTCTGTGATGTTTTAGTTTTACTTATAACTGAAATATGCTCAAGTTAATTTACAGTTTGTAGAAAAACACAAGGCCATTTACTTGTTTCCCCACTGGGACCACCCTGGGGAAGACCACCTACCTGTATAGGTTAGCACAAAACCAGGTACCTCACGTAAGAGACTGGGTGTGACCAACTGTTGATGGCCCTGCCACTCACATGTGCCACAGGAACGGGGGAATTTTAGGGGTTGGACCACGCAAACCGTAACTGAGGGCAAAAACTGCCTCCAATGTAACTTGATAAGGCTGTTATCTTTGCACATTAAAACACACGGGACACAGGCTGAACTGAAGGAGGAAACTGAGACCCAGAGGAACTAAGGGGATTATTGCTACTGTCCAGGGTCATATAACTTGTCAGCCGCAACCTGGGATTGGGCTCAAATCCCCTGTAGGCTCTCCCCCTCCCTCTTCTGCCTCTCCCTTCCTTCTCCCCAGAGCTACCCTTTATCTTCATTCTCTTGGCTTTAAAACTCTTTCCTCAGGGCACCTGGCTGGCTCAGTCAGTACAGCCTGCAACTCTTGATCTCAGGATCTCAGGGTCATGAGTTCGAGCCCTACATTGGGCATGGAGCCTACTTAAAAAAAAAAAAAAA